TTGGTATCTCCTCATGTTGGCAATAAAGGAAGTCTGTAAGCAAGTGTATTTAACTCTGCTATCATTTGAGATTTAAAAATATTACTAACAACAGTCCTCTCTTTATCTTTGTGTACATTCCAGCCATGACTGTTACTTTAAAACTTTATAGCCAGGAGGGACAACTGATAAAGAAAGTATTCTAGGATAAGTTTTGATCATAAGCCAAAAGTAGAATTTAAATATTTACCTAAAATATTGATACTGTAGGCATTTGACTATATAAAAGTTATTTATTCTGCAATAGACACAGGGTAGTGTATGCACTTTTTTCTGGTTGTTTTGGGCAAAAAACCAACAGCACAAAGGCTTGGAATTCTGAATGGGGTAGAGATGGGCATGAGGGTGACAAATTCCTATAATTCTAAATTCCTACAATTAAGGAAGACAAATGTCCCCACTTGGTTTCTTTGGACTAGGGCTAGCTTTGTTTACCTTTAGGGGTTCCAGATCAAAGAGAAATACTGCACCCAAGAATTTCTGTGCTGCATGAGCAAGTCTGTCCAATCACTTAGGATGGATGAAATTTCCTGTGTTTGTTTTTAACAGGCCTGTCTTGGTTATAAAAGTACATCTCTTTTTCCCCAGAGGATTTGTTAATCAAGGTAGACTGAAGGCATCCAGAATAAGCTCATTCATTCAGATGGCAGAAAAATGCACTAGTTAGGTGTATGGGCCCTGGACTTAGGCTGCCTGGGCTGGAGCCTGGTTCTGCAGCCCCCAAATGATACCACATTGCCAGTCATCATAGGAGGCAGTATTATTATCAATTCCATTTTATAGATCAGAGGCTGAGACACGGGGAGGTACTAGGCCTGGTGCTTTATCTAATATCTAGCTCAGAGTAGTTACTAAGGAGAAGCTGGCTATTTTTGTTAGAGTAGTTGGAGGCCACAATCTGGTGGTTATAGAGGTCACTTCCTAATGCTTTCTGGGAGACAAGTTTTGTTCTACATTTGTATGCAAGGCTTTCCATCTGTGGTTCAGTGAAAATATGGTGAAGGTCCAACATCTAGGGTTCAATTATTCAGGGCAGCTCAGGGAAGGTTTTCTTTGTGGTATGGGCTCCATTCTTATGCACTGCTTGCTAAAAATTTGTTAGCTCCATTTAATGCCCTACCTTAAATTTACCTTCCCACAGTGAATTATCTGGTGCCACTGCCAGAGATCTGCTTGGGCCTCCTGGTCTTTGATGTATATTTGTAACCACTTGTGATCATTTGGTTGATAATTCTGTTTACTGGCCTCTATAGGGCAAAGCTTGACACCTTTGATCTCTTCTGTTTCCTGCCTAACATAAGAGCAAGTTCTCAGAGACTATGCATTGGGTTCTCTTGCTGAAAGTATTAGTATCCTCTGCAGAGGGAAGAAATATGGACTCTAATTAAGAAACCACTTTGCTTTATTTTACATGAAAATCTCTAAAATTATACTGGAGAAGTCTTTTATTTTTCTTTAGGATTTTAAGAAACATCTAATTTATTTTCAAATACTGCATTAAACATTTTATCACTTTTTAAAGAAAATTAAGCTGCTTTAAGACAAGAAATTTGAATGCTTAGAACTATATTTAATCAATGGAGAAATTGTTTCATATAAGATGGTTATGAAGAAATTGTTCCATATAAGATGGTTATGAGTTTCTGTAAGCATAGGCTCATTGCTGTTTTAAAGTCATTTCTATCAGAGGGTAATTCATATTAATTTCACCAATTTTTGCTTTGTATAAAAGATTTTATTTGCATCCTACTGTGGTAGTTTGTGGCTGAACGGAAAATTTTATAGAAATAAGAAACAGCTCAAGTACGTGACTAATAAATGAAGAGAAAAAAATGTAGAATCAAGAAAGGATGGCCATGTAAATTATATAAAAATATTACATTCCAAGAGCACATATTTGGGTTTATTCAATATTACATTTGTATTCCTTCCCCTTGGGCTTCCCTATTTGTGTTATTTTATTAAAGTTGCAATTTACATACATTCTGGTATTTTATGGAAAGAGTCTGACATGAAAGTTGGTTAATGAGACATTGCTCTGTAAACAAGCAAAGTCTTGCTAAACATAGTGTAAATGACGGGCAGCTATGAGTTTGACAGCTATAATGGAATTGAAAATTTCTCTGATAATATTACAAACCAAGACAGGGAAGTGGAGCATATGGTGGTATCACTGTCACATAGCTGAACTAAATTCAGGTCATGCATATGTGTGTGTGTGTTTGCAAATAGACTAACTTATGGTTCTGTCTTTAATGTTTATTCTGTTATGTTTTATTTGGCCCTTATTGATTCATGTGCAGTGACTTTTCTTCCTTCACTAGCTTTACCTTCCCCTAGTTTAGGTGCTGAGGCTCAGGTGTACCTGGCTGTGAGGAACCCAAGCCAAATCTGACAGTATTTAACGTCAGCTTCATCTCTCCTAGGGGACAGAAGGGTAAACCAGCAGATCTAAAATACGGTCTTGAGACCAGCAGCATCAGCATTTCCTGGAATGTGGTAGAAATGCAAATTCTCAGGCTTCCACTTTCAATTTACTGGATCTGAACCTTGGGCAGCTGCCCAGCAATCTGAGTTTTAAGCACTCCTCCAGGTGTTTCTGATGCTTACTCGGGTTTGAAAGCCATTCATTTTGTTCTTGCTGCCCTCTATTCCTTCTGCCCTTGTTGACTTCCTGGTGTCTCTATATCTACGAACTTTAGTTCTCTCACTTTTTTTTTTTTGGTACCAGGTATCAAACTCTGGAACTTGCGCACGTGAGGCAGGAGGTGGAACCACTGAGCTAAAATCCCATCCCTAGTTCTCTCACTTTTATTTCCTCCTTGATGGGTCTCTGGTCTAACTAGGTTTCTGCTGATTTCAGATTTACATTCTAGTTATCAGCTAAGATTATCATTTTGCCCACAGACTGAAGCCCTGTCACTTCCTTTCTTTAAATCTTACATCATAGCCCTGTCAATACTCTTCTCCTTTCCTGGACAGTGTCCAGTGTTGGTACTGATTCAACTGAACCATTTGGAGGCAAGTCCCACAGAGCATCTTCATGAGCTGATAACTCCATGCTGTGCCCCAAGGCAGGCTGAGATAACACTGGCTGAGGTTGACCACCCGACACCTCTCCTTGGACACTATGATCAAAATCATTATTCTTTATAATTAGGCTCTGTCTTATAACCTGAATAATTATCCTAAACTCTCTAAAGTACCATTATTATACTTCCCTCTCTGAACCAGATATCAAGAGGCTACATAAATTATGATACCTGTTGGAAGCCAAATGCTGTCTTTGGAAAGCACTATAGAAGAGACAGGTAAACACTTTAGGATGAAACATGTTACTAACTTGGGGACAACTTCAGGTAAAAAAAGAAACAGTAGAAAACAAATTATATTTAATTACCTTAAGAAAATCTTGACATCTGTATCTAGTGTTCTAAATATTCTAATTTATATGATAGAGTATTCAATACTTTTGTGGATGGTGGCGTCTTCTAACCTTTGCTTTCCAAGCCTTCATTTTCCCATGCATGGATCCAGTCTACTGAATTTTATTTTCTGGAAACCAGAATACAGCACTATCTTACTAACAATTTACAGGGGGATCTGTTGCTGAAGAGTTTAATGCAATTTGTGTACTCATCCATAGGAGCCTACGGGTAACCCACTGTGAAAGAAATTGCAGGCCACCTTTATATGGGTAGAAAATAATTCAACAAACATTTGAAAACACTCTGTATTCACCTTTAGTCAAAGCCCTTTTATGTGTTTAGCAGTATTCACAGTACCTTGAGAAGTCCTTTTTTTCTTGAATTTGGTTTAATGCATAGCCACTTGGCCTACTTTAAGTGTAAGCTTTCTTATACTAAATGTGTGAGGCCTGCTTATTCTTTCTCTTTATCAAATAGATAGAAAATTATTTATAAATGTTTAACAAAAGCATATATGGTTGTGGCCATATGCATTTAATTTTTCATGAATGATTTATTCAATCCTATTATATGCCAGCCCTATACTAGGTGCTGGAATGACAGTATTTGTCTGCAAGAATCTTCTTGGAAGGCTTTTTCCAGTTAGGTAGATCTTTTCCTGTCAGATGCGATAGGTATGAATTTGTCTTAGAGAATGGGCAGGAACTGAAGAGGGTCTCCCTGATCATCAAGATGTGTGAGTTTGAGAAATAAATGCAATTTATCTAAATCACTGTTACCTTCTGAGAAATAAAAATGAGAACCCATGTCACAGAAACATTTAAATAAAGATAAAAACACTTTTTTTCCCCCAATTGGCACCAGCTATTCATTTCTGTCTCATGTCTGCTACCTCTATACATCAGGTTTATAGCAATCAGCTTCCAGGCATTGGTTATTAGAGGATCCCTAACTGAAGCTCTGACCTCTTTTTCCTGTGAGAAAATATTCAGCTTGCATTCATAGCATCCCTTTGGTTAAACATATAATTCACTACCAAATATGTTTAGACTTTCTCCTTGTCCCTATTTCTATCTTAGCTGCTATGAAGAATTAAAAACAAAACAAATTCACTTTCCCCTTGGTATTACTATTTTTTCTGTAAAAATCCTACTGGACTACAAGTATTTTGAGGACAAGACATGTCTTATTTTTGTAAACGCTATAGCACTTTACACTGTACTCCAATACTGTTGAATGAAAAAATTAATAGATGAATAAACCTACTTCTAGGAACAGATTGCAAACAGACAACATTCTAGGATTTCTAAGACTCTTGGAAAAGTCAATACAGTTGGTGTTTTTATATCCCGTCAACTTAATTGCAGGGAGAATTATTGTATAGACTTCCCATTATACTCTTGTACTCAAGTCTTCAGTAGTAGAAATTGAACAATGCAGCCATGCCTCATAATGATTTCCATTGTAAATACATATTTGTTGAGTATATACCATGTTCTAAACACTGCTCTGGTACTGGGGAGTGCCACTCACCTGATCTGAAGCCAAGTGAGCATAGGGGTCGTCCCTCCTCCAAACACCCAGACAGTAAAGAACACGAGGAGCAGCGTGGTGGTAAACATCATCTGTTTGGGCTGAGATTCTGTATTTCGAATAGCTAAGGCAAATGCGATTGCTCCCCTCAAACCTTTCAGGGAAACCAAAAAAAGATAATAAATATTTTACACACTTCTTTCTTTTCAATATATTTAACCTTACAATTTACTAACACAATTACTTTTTAATTGAACTTTTTTGTTTGGAGATAACTGTAAATTCACATGGAGTTGTAAGAAATAATACAGAGAGAGATACATCGTTCCCTTCCCTTGGCTTCTCCCAATGGTGACAATTTGTAAAGCTACAACACAATATCTCAACGAGGATATTGACATTTGTGCACTCAGAATACAGAGCATTTCCATCACCTCAAGGACTCCTCCTATTATCCTCTTATTATTACATCCACATTCCTTCCATGCACACCATCCTCAACTCTGGCCACCAATAATCTGCTCTCCGTTTCTACGATTTTTTTTCATTTCAAAGTTGTTACATAAACCGAATTCTGCTGTATGGAGCCTTTTGGAATTGCCTTTTTTTTTTTTAACTCAGAATAATTCTCCAGATATTCAGGTCACTGAATTTATCCATAGTGTGTTCTTTCATGGTATGGATGTTCTATAGTTTGTTTTACCACCTATCCCTTGAAGGACATCTGGACTGTTTACAGTTTCCGGCTATTACAAATGAGGCTGCTAAAATTTGTATACAAGTTTTTGTGCAAATGTAAGTTTGTATTTCTTTTAGTTAAAGGTCCAGGAGTGCAGTTACTGAGTAGTGTGGTATTTGCATGTTTGGTTTTTAAAGAAATTATCAATCTTCTATCCAGAGTGGCTGTAGCATTTGATATTCCCACAAGCAAAATAAAAATCATGGAATTGTTTTCATCCTGGCCAGATTTGGTGTTGTTGCTATTTTTTAGTTTCATCATTCTAATACAGAGGTAGTGATAGTTTATTGTGGCTGTAATTTTTATTTTCTCAATTGCGAATATTAAATATTTTTTAGTGTACTAATTTATTATTTATATACTCTCTTTGGTGAAATGGCTCTTCATATCTTTATCCCATTTTAAAAATTGGGTTGTTGGATTTTTTCCATTGCTGTTTTGATGATTCTTTATTACAGATATAAGCCTTTTGTTGGATACATGGCTTGCAAATATTTTCTTCCACTCTAGCTTTTCTCCTTATCCTCCTAAGATTCCAAAGATTTTCCTCTATTTTTTCTAAAAGTTTTATAATTTTACATTTAAATCCACATTCATTTTGAGTTAACTTTTGTATAAAGTAAGAGGTTTAGGTTGAGGTTTTTATTTTATTTTATTTTTTTGCCTATGGGTGTCTACCAGTTCCATTGAATTGTTTTGGGACCTTTGTCAAAAATCAGTTGAATATGTTTGTGTGGGTCTATTTCTGAATATTCCCTTTTGTTCCACTGATACATGTGCCCATTCTCCTTTTAATGCACACTAGATTAATTATTGTAACTGCATAGTAAGCTTCAATATTGGGTAGAGTGATTCTTCCTACCTTGCTTTTTTCCTTTCAAAACTATAGGTATTCTAGTTCTCTTGCCTTTACATGAAACTTTAGAATAACAGTGTATATATTTACAAAAATTCTTCTTGAGAACAATCATACATGTCAGGCAAGAAGGAAAACTAAGCTCATTGACCACTGGAAATTATAAATTAATCAAATAATATTTAAAAATTATTATGGATGGCTGATATACCTTTATAATCTTTGTGATCTTAAAATAACTTATTAAAATCTTGTTTTTCCTTGCTTTATCTTTTCCTCTTTAATAACAATATGCTAACTGAATTTTTATGAATACGTATTAAATACATTTGTAAGTGGTAGTAAAGATTAAATGCTAGGACGTTAGAGTGTGATGATATTAATAAAAATTGAAATGTATACTTTGAAGAAGAATAAATAAAAGCACAGAAGGAAAGGAAAGGAAAGGAAAGGAGGTAAAGTGGAAAGTTTCTCTTGGATAACCCAAGACTTCCAAGACATTTATAGTCCTTATCATATGGTGTAACAGAACAAATAAAGGTTTATAATGACAGCAAGTATAAATCAAAGAGGTAATTATTTATTTTTAGATCAGATACATAAAATTTCAGCAATCTATTTTTTATAATATTTACTGTAGTACTAGGTTTCCAAATTACTGTGTATTCATACATTAAAAACAATTTTTAAAAATTAGATACATAATAGTATGAAGACAATAATCATCCTGGTTTATATTCCTATGTTCCTAACTTAGAATATAATGCTCCTTTCTTATCTCCGTGCTGAGAATATACAAGAGACAAGTGGTGTAACATAAGATTCAGAGGATTAGACTAGAAAGATTTAATACATTTTGCCTGAAACAAGGGAACTTCAGAAAGAGAGAGGAACATACACTCTGATTATAAAATACCTTCAAGGAAAAAAATGTAATGGAGGAAGAAAGTTATTCTAAATCTCCATGTAGACAAGGAAATGGCCTGAAGATAAGCAAGATAACATTTGAAGCAGATATTAATAAGAAACAGTTCCTATACATCAGAAATTCTGAACACTTAAGATGGGTATACTCAAGAACAGTGCCCCCTCCAGAGGTATTCATGCGTTTGGACCCTGCAGGGGACAAGAGGTTGGGGATATTAATAACCCTCACACTAGGGACTATTTTTGTAATGTTCTTTTCAGGAAATACAAACGGTGTCATTAGGAAATAAGAACTCAAGGAAACAGTCTTGCAATAGACTCCTGCATCTAAGGAGAGGATTAATAGGTCAAGGTAAAGCTCCTAGCAGTGTTTAATCACAGTGCAAGTTTGGAGATAGAAGATAATCTTTTCATTTTTTCTCTTCCTCAAGCTCATATTGCTAGAAATGTCCAGAAAGTGGCACAACTGCAAATTAGGTGATATTAGAGACATTAGAGGAAGAGTTGCTAAGCATTTGTTTTTCTTGCTATGGACAGTCATAGTTTTGGGGTCATTTTTTGAAGTTTTTATGAGAAAGAAAAGATTAGAAAATAGAATATGAATTAAAACAATTTAGATGGTGCGTATTGTAAACTCATGCTGGATATTAAGGGCAAGGTACTAAGCAATCATTAATCTTCCTAAGTATGCTTAAAATGCATTGTTATTTATTAAACTAGTATAATTATACTCACAAATCTAAATTGTCTATATATGAGTAGTTTGTGACTTAAAAATATACTTAAAATATATGTTAGTCTAACTTCTAAAAATACACGCATCCTACAAACTAAAACCTATATTTATAGTAGATGCAATGTAGAGATTTCTGAAATAAATGGAAAAATACAAGTTACAGCCTTGTGGCAAGCAATGAAGCATTGTTAATTAGAGCCAAATTCTAAGATATTGTCAAGAGGATGACTTCTCAATACGATGACCAACTAGGAAAACTCAGAATCATAGTGCTTGTAGAGAAGAGATTATCTGCTCATAGCCTGGTCATGTATGGCACATGCAGCACCTGCCACAAGTGAGGTGGTGTGTATAATGCCAGAAACATGGAAATGAGAATAGTGAGTTGCTAAGTGGAAAAAGTGAAATTAATTTAAAATTCAGTTAAGAACTACTGCCTACTTCTTACTCATCCTTTATGACTCTACAAGTTACTCATCACACGCTTGAAGCCTAGACAAATGTCAAATCAATGACCATTCATTGCTCCATTTAATACATATATATTGATTACCTGCTATGTGGAGGCTTTATGCATACTGATCCTATCTTCTTAATACCATGGATTGAGGCCATCGAAAATTTTAGAATTGAAACAAATTAGTAGTCTACCAGCAAAATACTTACAAATGAAAGACCGATATTGATTTATGATTTTCTTTTTAGTAAAACATTTCCAAAGAACACATACCATTTCACCCAGAAACTTAGAAACATACAACTTGTCAAAACTTGTGTTTTATTTTGTTTTCTGGATACTTTGACCCTTTGGTTTACCTTTCTCTTTCTCTTTGTTTTGGCCAACTAATCAAAATAATTCTGTATTCTGAGAGTAGACAGACTATACTATTTCCATTTAAATAGGTTTACTTTGTAGAGATTTTGACTTATTTTATATCCCCAGTTGAAAAGTTAGCATCATCTTGAGGAATAAAGGAATTACCTACAATTAAATGTGGTTTCATCTAAAATTGTCCTCTAAGGAATTCTTATGTTAATTATGTTGATGTTCTATTCATAACAACAGAAGACTACTGAACCAAGAAAAGCTTTCTAGCAAGGACCCCTGCTGAAAACAATGTGAAGCTTCCTGTTTATCTTTAAAGAGCAAAAGTAAAGTTTTTAATCAATTGCAAATTTGCAAATGTGTTTTAAATGGGTGAAGGTCACAGGGATATAAACACCTCACCTCTTGGGGCATTTTTACTTATGGTACAAAGCAATAGGGCAATGCCATAAATATTTCCTGAACAATGCTAAGTACTAAGCTTTATCCAAGACACAGTGGGAGTGCAAGGACAAGGAAAGTTGGGCTCCTTTACCCTCCTTTGACTCTCTTAAAAGGAAAACTGATCAGGTGTCTTAGAGGTGCAAAGGAGATTCTTTGGATGTATGGACTAATGAAGAAGAAAGTAAGTTGCTTTGCCTCATGAAGGCTATCTTAGTTACTTTTCTCGTTGCTGAGACAAAATACCTGACACCCAAAGTTAAAGGAGGAAAGGTTTATTTTGGCTTATAGTTTTGTAGAGTTTTCAGTTCATAGTTGGTTGACTCCAAGACAGAGTGGCATAGCAGAGAGGCATTGCAGAGGATAAACAGTTGATGGCAGGCAGAAGGCAGCAAAGTAGCAAAGTAGTGAAGAAGTACAGCAGCAAGTGACCACAGCAGCCCTCTTCCTGTCTCTTATGTTCTATCCAGGCTACACATCCTTAGAGCAGGTAGCACTCATACTCAGGGTGGGCCTTCCCATTTTCCACATTCAGAACTATGCCAAACCAATCAGTGGATAATTTAGTAATCACACACCCTTGATGCTAGCCATCACACACATAATTCCAGTATCACACTCCAGATCCA